ACCCCAGGGAAGGTTTATGAATGATCAAAATTTCAAATATTTGTCTCCATCAAAATTCGATCTTCATTAAATTTTTGAAAATTTTGAAAATCCACGAAATTTTTTGTGAAAATCCGCGAATTATTTTGTTTTGTTTTATGATGTCCACAAAGAGAACATGTTCACAATTAATTTAGAAGATGGGCCCGAAGCGCCCTCTAAGGCTAGTAAATATAAAAAATAGAAATAAAAGGAAAAGGAAAGGAAAGGAAGGGAAAAATAAAGTTACATATTTATACATATTTATTGTTTACATTGTATTTAATATAAACTAGTGGTGGATTTTTAGTATTTTTCGACGATGAACTAACAACTTTTAGAAATAAAAATAAAAATCAGCAAGTCACATTATAACTTTCGTTTCCAGGATTTGTTTTAACAAAAAAATCTGCAAAAAGTTTGTAATATCTAAAACCGTATATGGTAGAAGACATTCAAATCTATTTACTAAATATCATGTTCCGTATGACACCCTGTATTTCTAGGTTATTTGAAAAACGTGGAGCAATCTCCCAGACCATTTGGGAACAGTCTCTTCAGATCCAGGAATATAAGACAATTACATTTTTTAAAAAAAGAATTCTATTAAAAGGGATTTAATTAGAATTGAGCCTAGAAAAGGAGGTATTTAGCCGGATTTTGTTATAAACAGTCGTCGCCGTATATATCAATACAATAAGAACGACTTTTTATTTCAATTTTGATTTCAAACAGCATGGATACACATAAAAATGGAAACAAAGAGAAGCTGTCAATTAATAGATTCTTGTAATATTTACTTGTAAGCTTGTAATTCTTTAAAAGGTTTAAATACCCCTCCTTAAACTTCAAAAAGAAAAGTCGTCTTCATTGTACTGATATAAACGCCGAGCACTGTATTAGGATATTTGTAGAAGACAGTTAAAAGTTCAAATATTCCAACAAAATAATTACGTGTGCAATCCGTTTTCTTATGTCAGGCTTTCCAAAAAGCTAAAAATGATCAAAATCTGACAAGTTAAAGTGGGTCAAAACCAAGATTTAGTTTGTTACAGGAAAAAGTAGTCATTTAGGCAATGTGCCTGAGGAGACTCATAATGAAAATTTGAGAATTTCACTTATTTACATAAATATATTCAATATTGAACAATAACTGGACATTGATATGAACAACATTGACTTATTTGTATTCTACAGACCACACAGCATAGTGTGACAGACTGTTCTTTAAGCTGCAAAAAGACGAAAGGTTGCAATGCATACAAATATGATTCTGATTCAAACATCTGCTATGCTGCTCAAGTAAGAAAAAAATATAAAAAATATAGAAAAATAAAAAATAACTCCTAAAGAATTTTATACACATCAAAGAAAGTTTATCCTCTCAATCTATGAACACTTTGGATATTTGATGTAGCATAATTTACAGTTTGAAATACCAAAGGTCTACAACATCAGGGAAAGAATTTAATACATTTGAGCTGCGTAACGTTGTTAAACTTCCTACAGCCGGTTCAAATTTAAACCACCGATTCAAAGTTAAAGATTAAAGAAGGATTTGAATCAGTGATTAAATTTGAACCGGCAGGAGACAGTTCAAATTCATTAAATTCGATCCCAGATTCGGATAAGGGTTTGAAATTAAGGTGGTTTACATAAATTGTGTTCAGAAAATATTATAAAAGTAAAGTTCTAATTGAGTCAAAGAAAACAGTTTCCAAATTTTTACTGTACGCAATGTATGTGTTTTTATTACAATATTCTCCTTACTCAAACATCAGATAAAAAAAGATTGATACGATTCAATTCAATTTTATTCATTTTTGCGAACACTCCCTTTAAGGTTGAGCTGGCTGGCCTTGAAGTTGTTGACAATAAAGTAGCTGTATCTGTCTTCATGGAATCTGAACTGTACTATAAGGTGAGTAGTGGTACTAAGGTTGTATATAAGGTATAGATACTCTGGATGCGCTCAAATGTAGGTAAATGTCGTCTTTATTGCTATGGAGACTATAAATCCTCATATGACGTCACTATGATACTTTACTAACAATCATCACATTTAACAATTATTGATTAAGCTAAAGAAGACAATTCTAATTCAAGTTTTCAATTTTTGAGTGCGTTTATATTTAGTGAGCCGCAAAATTTATTATTCTTTAAAATAAGCAGTGACGTCATATGAGGATTTAGAGTGTCCATTGCTGCTATAAAGGTCGTCTTTACTTATATTGAAGTGCATCTAGAGTATATCTAACCTTATTATACAGAGCGTCCCATATCATATTTGATTATCTCCAAACTTTAACGCCAAAATAAACACATAATGCTCGAAAAATTTTGCATTTTCTGGAAGAAAATTTTCATATAAGCCTTGACGATCTAATATGATGTGGGACACCCTGTACAACCTTGAGTGATGTACACACTTAACAATAACATTTGTAATAATTCAAATAATACAGGGTGTCCCACGAAACATGACAGTTGGTGAATAGTTTTGAATGTCTTCTTCCATATATACTGCATTATATATTAAAGACTTTTTACAGTTTATTTCGTTAAAAAATTCTTTTACTCAAATATTTTTTACTTTGATTTCAAATTTACTATTTTATACATGCCATATAATATTTTTTATTATTCTCTTTGATATCAAACAACTTAACAAATTATGGAAGAAGACATTTAAAACTATTTACCAACTGTCATTTTTCGTGGGACACCCTGTACTTAATTCACTTAATTGGACAGTAGGTGTAATTTAAAGTGAGTTTCCAATTGTAGAGTGGGCAGTGGCGTGTTTTTGATTCGAACAAAAGACCCTTTTAACCTTTGACTGAGATTATTTATCAGAAACACTTTTATGTGTTGATGACTTTGTTTATAAGCTCTTTTATATTTAAAAACTATTGATATTTACTCGTTAAATGTTGCAGAAAAAAAATAATTTCATTTAAATTTTTAAAAAGCACGTTGGACTTGTTTCGAATTCTTCAGACATTGGTAAAATTCAGCTCTGATGAGTTCACTCTGTATAAGCTTACGTACACTCTGCAGTTTTAAGGTTTTAAGGTTTTAAGTTTAAAGGTTACCGTTGTGAATCGGACATGTCCCTTTAGAAATGGAAGTTGACCCGAAATTAGGCTTGCAGTCCCTGTAGTTTAACAAGTTTTGCAAAACTCAAATCTTAAATTAAAAGGCTTAAGATTATTTTAAATACACAAAAATATACTACCGTTTAAACT